TCCCTAAATATTTAAACTTCTTTATCTGCCTCAACGTAACTCCATTTAACTCGGAATTACATTGAAAAGGATTTCTTGAAAGTGCCAACACTTCAGTCTTTGGCATGCCTATTTTCATCCTAGCATCAGTACAAACAGCTGCGAACAGTTTTATTTTTAAAAATAAAAATAAAAACAAATTTATATTATTTAAATGCATTAAATATTACAATTAAAATTCTTTAAAACCGAATTAGGAGGGTATTTTGCTATTATTAAGTACGCATAAGTAAAGATTAAGGCTAAATATTTAATTCACTTACATCAATAAAAATATAGTTTAAAAGTAATGTTTAAAAGTACATTTTATTATTTGATTAACGAAGAGTACTTAAAATTAATAATAATATACTCACCAATGACGTCACTAGACGTCACAAGCGATGACGTACTTTAAGAGTTACACGAAAGTTATTACGCAAGATGACTCGTGAATATATTATTAAACAAGATTAAAAGTTTAAAAAATTATAAATGATAAACTGTAAAAGATTATTGGTGATAAGTAATAAATAAATAAATTCCTTATTTTTAATCATTTAATAGGTAATTTATTTAAAAAAAAAAATATATAATATTTTTTGAAGTACATGTTGGAATTTTNCGATGAAATTTTTTTGTAATAAAAAAAAAAAAAAAAAATTGCAATTGCAATTACAATTAACTAACGTCATTCTTTTCTAAGATTTTCACGCATTTAAAATTTAATATAATAAAAATTAATATTTTATACAAAAATAGCTCATTGACAGGATAGATTTTTCTATATTTAAGTTTTCAATTAATATGTTAGCTTATTAAAAAAAATGTATTTAATGTGTATTTATATGTGACACGATACTGGAAACAAAAAAAAAATGACTGGAGGCACATTCAGATCCCAAATTTTCAAAATTTTCCTTGACCCACATGATATTAAATATTAATTTTTAGCGTATTTTATACCTTGAAATACAAATATTTGATCTATATATTCATACAAGGATATGACGCCATTTTTAATTTGTATGCCCCATATTATATTTATAATATTGAAAATTAAATTCTTGTCAGAATTATTATTATATCGAAAAAAAATATTAAAAATATTAAAAACGAGAAAATAAGTATAAAACTATATAAAAAATGCTTTTAATATCGGTGAAATTTTATTATTAACTAGCTGAAAATATTAGTTAATTAATTAATTCTATAGAATCATTTTGAAAATTTTTTTTATAATTATTTAAATTAAATAATTAAATTTTTTATTATTTAATATAAAAAGAAAACGATCCGAAATTACAGCGAAACGGAACCGACAAAAATAATCATAATAAAAAAACCATTATTGAATTAGTTTTCTTATCACTCACTAGATGGCAACACATGTAATTGTCCAAATAAAACATAAAAAAAATATTTTCAAATTGTTCATTGCTGTTTTTATTATTATTTTGTCAAAAATAATATAAATTAGTTATTTAAAACAATTTGTTTTATTTTTTTAAATATAAAACACTATTTACGAATTTTAATTTGCCTGTATGTATGTCTGATTGTATGAACTTTATTCTAAAGATCATTGTAGTTAAGAATTTGGAGTTTGGACTAAATATTTTCCCCTGCTAATAATAATTTTATCTGGACATCTTTCTATATAACGAATTTTTTCATAAACTAAAAATATTAAAACTATAGACTATTGCATATAAAATGCTACAGTTCATATGTTACTTAATATTTATAGTTTTGTATTAAAGAAGCAAATATATTGGGTTTTTTTTAACTCTTTCCGCTCTGTGGGCACTAAGATGGCTTCTTTAAGCAAGCCCATTATGGGTTCGGCCAGACCCACAGCGGGTGAAGGACGGGGCCACCACCCCGAAAGATTCCCGGGGATTTTTCGACCCGCTCGAATACAAACAAGGGTCCCCAGAGCGGTAGGCTGCCACCTTAGACAATACACAATATCACGAACAAAATGTATTATAAAAATAGTAATATAGTACTAAATTATAAAATAATTACATAAGCGAAATTATAAATTATAAAGCAATGAAAGGTAAGGTTCAAACAAGTTGAACTGTAGGTAAACAAATTTTTTAAAAGAAAAACCATATAGACTAATATTGAATATGCAAAATACTGTACACTTGTAGTCATATGCTAGTAGACTCGTACAGTACGATCAGTGGCGTAGCGTGGGTGTCAGCCGTCCGGGGCAAATGAAAATTTCACCGTCCCCTTATTTAGGTATCTCAATTTAAAAGACTAAAATTTAGTTTCGTCACAGAATAAGTAATGAAAAATTCTTTGCTAGTGTTGCCACCTTTTTAAAATCGCTGACTGAATGAATCGTACAAGCAAAGAAAAAAAATCGACAGGTCGCGCACGATATCTCCAGGTAAAATTAATACTAATTAACACTATTCCGTGCTCATTTCAATCGGTCCGAATCGTAGGTGCGACGAAAATATGAAATGAAATGGTTCAAATTTTTACAAGATATTTATTATAATTATTTATTGTGAAATTTTGCCGCTCCTAAAAAGTGCCGCCCGGGGCGGCCCGCCCCTGCCGTCCCCACTACGCTACGCCACTGCGTACGATGAAAAATCCATCTCCGAAACTGCAGGAATAAATAAATTATTCAATAATTGCACTGCAGTTTACGAGCAGTAATCTCAATTAACGGCCATCTTGGATTTTGACCTCGATTAATGACTAACGGCGTCTTTACGTAATATTTACCCTATGGTTGTGGTGTCTAGCATTGTTCCGTAATACAATTAGTAGTTTACATTATAAATTTTTTACATATTTGTAAATTTTTACAATTATCGTTAATTGTAAAAATTCACAAATATATACAGTAAAAGACTATACAATAATGTGTTTCCTTATTATAAAATAACTTTTACTTATTTCAACATATATTTTCGTTATTTTCTATTGTTCTATAACTCCAGTTTACTTAAATTTCTAAATATAAAATGCATCCTCAAACATTGATAAAGATTATTTGATTCCATTGTAAACTTCAAAGATTATGTACTGTATTTTTGAAGTTTAAAAAATTAAAAGCTTATCTTGGCCAATATGATTAAACAGTCGACCCCCCTATAACACTGTTGATAATTCCGTTTTATATAAATTCCATGTTGTACGAGTCACTTAGATTTTACAAATACGTGTGTCGGGCAATGAACGGCTCACGTATTTGTAAAATCTAAGTGACTCGTACAACATGGAATTTATATAAAACGGAATTATCAACAGTGTTATAGAGGGTCAATTGTACATGGCAATACAAGTAACCCCCGTATAACACGGCACTTCTATAGCACGGATTCACTCTAACACGGTTCGAAATTAAGAAAATCCCCCGTATAACACAGTGCTTTTATAGCACGGGTTCACTCTAACACGGTTCGGGAATTAGGTGAAACCCTCGTACAACATAAAGTGTAATAAAGGGTGTGTTCTTTTATACCTCCGCGTAACTCTGCGCGAGCATTCTAATTGTTTTCATGTTTACTTTGAATTCTCTTTCAACAAATAATCCATTTAATGGTTATATTTTACAATTGGGACCCTTCTTTTGCCTCTAAAAGCTCATTTTAGAATTATAGATTCGTCCATCACGATACTATCGATAGTGCGGGCGCCGCCATCTTTCTTTTACCGTCGTTCCTAAATACCTACAAACAGCAGCGCACTCCCGTTGCAGAGCGACCGCTATTAACGAACGCACCCAAAAACTGTTACCAGTTGATGATGCTCAAGCTGAAATCATTATACTGTATAGGATGAATGTATAGGATGAACTCTGGTAAAATATTTACTTAAATAATAAATAAGTATTTTACCTGTGAAAAAAATGAATAATAAATCCGATTTAAATAAGGATTTAACAGAATGTTTTTTAATTTTTGGAACCTAACCCCCCTTTTCGCACTAGTTCTTTGTTTCGTATAACACGGATTCTCATAACACGGCAATTTTTTGGAACGTAACTCCCGTGTTATACGGGGGTTACCTGTATATTATGATTATGCAATTAGTTCTAAACAGTTCTTCATATTCTTGTAAGAATTGATAACTGTAGATTTAGATATGCAAGACTTAAAAATCTGTTCTCTTATACAGTAGGAATAAGAAAACATTGATTACTTAATAAAAAATAATCGTGACATTTATTTTATTCATTAACTAAATGAGAAAAACTGCCGATTCCGTATCTTGTAGAATTTATAAGATCGCTTCTACCCAACTTCCCAACTTGTTATGTATTACATCCACACATATAGAAAAAAAAAACTCAAATCTTTTGCATACAGTATATATAACCCATTCAACGGTTATCCGTCCATCCGTCCCGTAACCGTTTGATAACGGACACTAGAGGCGCCCCTATCGTGTGTCATATTTCAAACATTCAAATTAACAATTTTAATTATTATTTAAATTAACATATAGACTAATATTGAATATGCAAAATACTGTACACTTGTAGTCATATGCTAGTAGACTCGTACAGTACGATCAGTGGCGTAGCGTGGGTGTCAGCCGTCCGGGGCAAATGAAAATTTCACCGTCCCCTTATTTAGGTATCTCAATTTAAAAGACTAAAATTTAGTTTCGTCACAGAATAAGTAATGAAAAATTCTTTGCTAGTGTTGCCACCTTTTTAAAATCGCTGACTGAATGAATCGTACAAGCAAAGAAAAAAAATCGACAGGTCGCGCACGATATCTCCAGGTAAAATTAATACTAATTAACACTATTCCGTGCTCATTTCAATCGGTCCGAATCGTAGGTGCGACGAAAATATGAANAAAACTTATACGTTTCACAAATAAATTACAGATCAGAAGAAAAACTCGATACGATTAATAAATTACAATTAATGTATTAAAGATTCATTCAACGTAATAAATTTCTATATTTATCTTAATAATTTAGATCGGATGGCTTACTTTCAGATGAATTATCCCTGTATTCCAACAGTTTTATTTGGAACATATATTCAAAAATCTTCGTTTTGATGCTTTAATGAATGTTCATAATTACCTCATTCAGATCAAGATCTCAATAAGATTACCGTTTCAATATTGATTCTTAACTTCCGTAAACAGGAAAAGTTGATCTGAAAAATATAGCAAAGGTTTTATTAGTTCAATGTCTATTTCTTCAATTGTAATCCATGTCCGTTATTCTAATGAAACAATCAGCAAGATCCTTACTGTATTTAGATGTTTTTTATCCTGATAAGTTTTTAAAACATCACTGAAATACTGTTTAGTTACAATATCAGTTACTGTATGACGTGGTTACACTTCAACAAATAAAATCAATATAGGCCTACCTTACTTGAACTTTCACTTTCCCATAGTATAGACTGTACCTGCTTTCATTAAATAATTTTCTTTACTTTTAATTAAGCACCCTTCATAAGATAAAATTTTAAAATCAGATTTAAATTCACTACGACTGTTCAGAAATCGCTGAGATAACGAAAGTAAACGAGCTACTAAACAACTAAATTCGCATAAACGTCTCTAATTGTTTGCGACAATCAACAGGAAGTATATCATAACTAGCAGCTATTAGCAGTTGACGTCATCACTTTTATTACTTTTTGAATATTTTACGCATTTATATATGCGAAAAATCGATAAATTTGTTATTTCGTATATTCTAAATTGAGGAAACAAAAGTTATGGTTTTTAAAAAAATTAATTTTAGTATGCATTTAACTAGGAAGGAAATCATTATCAAAGGTGTAGAGAATATATACTTAGTGGACATACGTATAAATTTATGTTTGTATAAGACATACATACATACATTCAGTATGCTTACAATGATATCTCATTTTACTATTGAGGAACAGGTAGTGTAGCAGAAGGATGGTGGTAGTAGAACTACTGCAATGAGAGAAGACTTTCAGGCAGACTGAAATGCTTTGAGTCGCCTTAAAGTATGCACAAAACATCAAAAGGACACCACTAAATAACTCTTTACAGGGTTTCTAGTTCAGGGAGAGATCATCTAGATGTGCTTATCATAAGCACTCTTAAACATTGCTGTCCGGTAGTATTAACAACATTAGATAAACGAACAGAGTGATAAATAAAGGTACTTTCAAGAAGTAAAACAAAATGGCTGCTGCCGTATATATTGCGTGCCGTGTCTATTGGAACCGAGATACAGTGGCGCGTTATAGCTTCCTGGGGCCCAGGCGAATTTAAATTAGGGGATTCGTGTACATTGTTGACTTCAAACGTTTTTCTTCGGGGAATTTTTCAGGGAAATATTTTCTGATAACAGATTGGTTTGAGGTCCCCGGTTAGTATGGGCCCCAGGCAATTGCCCTTTTTGCCCATAGAATAACACGCCACTGCCGGGAAAAGAAGAAACCCCGATCCCCACATAAACACATAATCAGTAAATGCATATAATGTACTCAGTATATTGTACTGTACATTATTGTACAGTACAATATACTTTACAATAAAGTTACATATACTATACTTAGTATATGTAAAAAATATTTATATGATATATATTAAAATCTTATTTAGTATTATTTGAAAATTAATTTTTAAAATAATATTAAATTTCAAATAAAAATTTCTATTTAAATTACGGCTACGTTATCCGCCATATTTGATTTACGTAACTGTAGCAGACGATTTGTCCTTCGCTCACAAATGAAACCGCCACGCCACATATAAAAAAGTCATTTTTAAAAATTAATAATATGAATAAAATAAATCGAAATAAATTACTTTAATAATAAATAATATTTTATTTTAAATATTCGTTTTAAAAGTAATATTTTTAATATTTCATCTCGTTTATATTTTAAAAATTTTGAATTGCAGTTACAATTGTACATTATACTTTTCCTATCTTTACTACTTCAAAGTGGTAAAAAAAAATAATAATAAGTTCCGTATGAAATCTTAAAAAATTAAAAAAAAAGAAAAAACATTTTACGGATTCAAAATTTTATTTCAATTTTATTTAAAATTGCAATTTGTATGCATAATTACTAACGCGCGAATATGCAAATGAGCTCCGAAGCATCTCCAATTTGAAGAAAAAGGTTGCGAATTGTTTTTATTTATTATTTTAATATTTCTTATTGGAATGTTAATCGAATTGAAAGAAGAAACATTTAGGACCGATCGATCAACATGTCCTACTATGAAGTAATGAAATGCACAGTAGGTTATTAAATTTATATTTATTTAACCATTCGGATCTTATAGTTGATCGCTGGTTCTAATGATCGGACATAATCTATAATATAATAGATTTATTTTTTAATAAATTTTACGGATAACTTTAACAATGTTCTCGTTTTTATAATGATATAATTGTAATTTTTTAAAGATCTAAGCTTATGTGAGACAAAGCGTAAAGGTGTGTGGGAGGAGGTTGTGAAGGGGGCATTATTATGTTTGGTCTGGTATATCTGAGTCTGTGCATGGTAAGTCTGGTGTAGGGTTATTGGTGCGCGACTCTGTGAAACAGTTTGTAGTTAGTTACAAGAGTGTGAATGAGAGACTGCCGGTTTTAATTGAGAGGCTTGCGGGGATTACTGCCTACGCTGCGGTCGACACTGTGTCGGATGACGAGGATATTCTAGGCTAATATAGATGGTGTCGTGAATAATAGAGAGGTTGCGGCCGACGTTTTCAACGCGAAAACGTGTACTTCGGACGTTCAGCGCCGCCTTCCTGTGAGTATAGAAGTTCGACAATGGTGTTTGGATAGTCAGTGGAATCATGCTCGACATTCCAAACACCATTGTCAAACTTCTATACTCACAGGAAGGCAGCGCTGAACGTCCGACGTACACATTTTCGAGTTGAAAACGTCGGCCGCAACCTCTCTAATGTTAAAAGCAACGAACGTGTAGTACTGTTAGATGACTTGTATGACTAGATAGGAGTGAAGCGAGATGAGACAGAAAGCTCTTGGAAAATATGGTGACGCCAAGATAAATGATAATGGTGAAAGGGTGGTGGCCTTCTGCATGGAGAGGGGATTGTTTGCAATGAACACCTACTTAAAGCACCGTGATATCCACATGTATACATGGGAAAGAAGGGGCTCGCAACAGAGAAGTCTGATTTGATCTTGTGCTGTTTGATGAGAGGCTGAAGGGATCCGTGAGAGATACTAGTGTCATGCGAGGTGACAGTAACCATTTCTTAATTGTATGTTTATTGCAAATGCAGTGTGGGTGGAGGAAGCATGTGAAAAAGTGTGAGGATGGAGTCATAGTGAAAGTGGAACGAACTTTTTTGACCATAAAAGTGCATGAACAGTTCGAACAAAGAGTGTCACAAAAATTATGTGACTGAAACGTATACGAGTGTGGAGGATAAGTGGGTATGTTTGAAGAATGCTCTAGTAACGAGTGCCACAGACATTTGCGGTACTGCGAATACTGGTAAGAAAGCCCCCTTGGATGACTGACGCTGTACGTGAAGCTGTACTCAAGAAAAAAGAAGCATATCTGAGTATGCTTGCAGGTAAAACGGAGCTGCGTGATTACAAACAGTTGAAACGGGAAACTTCAAGAATTGTAAAAGAAAGTAAGCTACGTGTGAAAGTAGAGTTTGCTGAATGTGTGTCTAAAGATTTTGAATCTAACAAAAAGTTGTTTTGGAAAAAGTAAGAAATGTAAAAGGACTGAATGAGACTTCATTGGCAGGAGTAAAAAATATAAATGGCGAGATAGTTTGGGACGATATGAGCGTGCGTGGCAGGTGGAAGGAATATTTTATGAGTTTGTACGGTGGCAGTGTAGCTGTCAGTGAGTGTGATTGTGAGGGCGAGGATTGTATGAGTGAAAGCGAAAGTGAGTTTAACGTTGTTGAAGAGTCAAAAGTGGTATCGTGTCTGAAAGATAGTAAGGCAGTAGGTTTGAATGACGTATCAATAAGTGCTGAAATGATCAGGCACTGTGGGAGAAAAGTTGTGTATTGTTTATGTGACTAGTTGAATACTTGTTGGTGTGACAGATATGTGCCAGATGAATGGCTGAAGGGTGTAATTGTGCCGTTCTATAAAGGAAAGGGTGACAAGGCTGAGTGTGCCAACTGTCGTGCTGTAAGCCTGCTCAGCGTGCTTGGTAAGGTGTATGGGAAACTTGGTACGGCGCCTGCAGCAAGTGACTGATGGTAAAGTGTGGGATGTGCAGGGTGGTTTCAGAAGTGGTAGAGGATGAGTGGATCAATTGTTTGCCTTGCGGCTGGTCATCGAGAAGCACTTGGAAGTTGGAAAGAAAGTATTTGGTACATTTGTTGATTTGGAAAAAGCGTATGATTCTGTCAAGCTTCTGAAAAGCTATGGAATGTGTTGAGTGATTATAGAGTATCTGAAAAGTTACTGACTGCGTTGAAGTTTACGTATATGAACTGTCAGACATGTGCGAGTGAGTATCACCTCTTTCTCTGAATTCTTTGCAATTGAGAAGGGGGTGCGCCAAGGGTACTTGATGAGTCCATGGCTGTTTAATGTCTTTCTGGATGCAGGTGTATGTGAAGCTTTGGCTGATGACCACGGTGTGAAAGTTGGGATTCAGAATGCGAGGGTGTTATTGTATGCAGATGATGCAGTACTGTTAAGTGAAAATGAGGAGAAAATTCAGAGTATGCTTAGCCGATTTAACAAGGTGTTACAAGATAAAGGGCTACGAATAAATACTAAGAAGACTAAGTGCATGGTATTTGAACGTGCTATGAGTGACAGACAACTTGCAACTTGACGCTGGATAGTGTGAATGTGTAACAAGTGGACAACTTCGTTTACTTGGGGAGCATGGTGCAAAATGATAGTGGGATAAAGGGGGAGATAGTCAGGAGAAAAGCGGCGGGTTCGAAAGTCGTCGGTGCGTTTATCTGCCTGCTTCGGAACGAGTATACTGTACATCTAAGAGAGTAGGATTAGCTGTGTGCAAGCAAGTGCTGTTACCTTCCTTGTTGTATGGGCGTGAAACGTGGGAGTGGCAGAAGAAAATTGGAAGTGGAGTGAATGCTGATGAGCTGAGAATGCTGCGTGCAGTTTGTGGAAAGACTCTAATGGATAGGGTAAGGAATGAAAAGATCTATGAGTTGTGTGGAATGCAAAAACAAGCGAGTGAGCGGGCACAAGGGAGATTGCTGAGGTGGTTTGGGCACATGGAGCGTATGAGCAACGAACAACTGTTAAAGCGTATCTATGTTGATGAAGTGTGTGACAAGCGTCCTAGGGGCCGCCCGCCAAAGAGATAGACAGATGGTGTGCGAGATGCTTTGGTTGCAAAGAACATTGTGAGTATGCGTGGTCGAAGTCAGCGTAAATGTATACGAAAGGCCTCAATGAGCGTGGAAGAAGCGAGAGAAAATGTTTAGATGGAGTAGTGTGGAAGCAGCTCATTCACTGCCAACCCGAAAGGGAAAAGGCGTGAAGATATGTATGTATATACATACAATTGGCTAGTATAAATCTGAATATTTTGCAATGGGCTGTTATAAGTTAATGAGTAATTGCTCGAGATATCATTACATGTATTTCTAATATTTTGACTAAAAAACAATAAATACATTTTCAGGAAAATAGTGATTCATCCGATTCGCAATCAAGCAGAATTATTTTTGAAACAAATTTGGAAAAATCGATCAAAGCAGAAACTGAATTAGTTTATTCGTCAATTGCCAATGACTTCAAAGACGATTCCATCTATTCAACTCCATTCCATTATGTCCCATCCTTGGAACTTGATAAAGTTCAAGAATCGAAATCAAAAATCTCATTGGAGGACATTACAATTCCTGAAGAATTTTTATCTTCTTATTTGCAATCTCCTAAAATAGATTATCATATAGATCGTAGCAATCATAATAACGTATTAAAAAGTCCTCTAAAACAGTTTAAATCGAGGCATCGCTCTAGAAAGCAAATCAATCCATGCAAGAGTCCTTCACCAGAAGATCCGAATTTTCATGGTTTTACAGTCTTTATGAAGTTGAAGATAAATTCAGGAGTTCCGGAATTAATTATGACGTCGATTTATAGGTTAGATCGATATTTTTCAAAGTTGTACAATTCATGAATGCTTATACGCATTTTGTTTACATAGAAATGGAAAGAATAACCACCAGAAGAGATTTCGGCGCTTGAATAGATGGAGCGGATGCAGCGATTCCGAAGACGATTCGATGAATAAGTGTATGTATGAAGTGGTTTTGAATTAAAACGACTTAACACCGCTTGGGATTTTTTTTTTTTTTTTTAATTTATTCCTTTCCTTGTAGCGAAGCAATGTGCATCTTGCAATACTAGAAAAACACCTCTGTGGAGAGATGCCGAAGACGGTACACCACTTTGCAATGCTTGTGGTATAAGGTGATGCTTATAATACAATAAATTCTATTGGCTAAATTATATATGTATATTTTATTTATTTATGCTATTGTTACAGGTACAAGAAACATCATGTTCGATGTATTAATTGTTGGTACGTGCCGAGAAAGGGCGATAAACTTGCATCTATCTGTTCTTCATGTAGATCCTTATGCTGGCAAAACGTTAATAAGAAACAATAAACATTTATTTATTTATTTATTTTTGTACAATGCTAAAAGCAATAGGCAAAAACTGCTTTCATAATGATAATGGCACAATTATATACATGTATGTATATATATTAAGCCTAGTAAATAAACGTTTTGTTTAAAAAAAAATGTATAAAAATAATTACAAAAAATATATTAGCATATTAAAAAAATATTAACGAGTTTTAAAATAATTTAAAAGTTAAATATAGCTATTTAAAAAAAAAATATATAAATGTTATTTTAAGAGTTCTCTCTATTATATATAAATTTATCGTCAGATGGCGTACGTAGTAATCAAAAGCGAGAAGTTCGTTTGGTTTGTTATATAACTTTGACGTCATTTGACGTATTATCATAATCAAACGAATGGATGCAAAGCTTACGGATTTAGTGAAATATGGTGGATAAGTGCGCTATAATCGGAAAATTCTACAAAGTCTAGATTCGTTTTATTAAAATATTAGAAAATTTCGCGAAAATTAGACAAAAAAAACTAAATAAGCAAGCCAATCGCACAATCTGTTTTAAAATTAGTGGTTAAAATACGTTTCGTTCACAAGGAGCTACACCATTGGCTTGCTTAGACCCTGCCAACAATATTTATCCAATGGTAACGGCCGAGTGGTTAAAGTGACAGTCTGTCGCCCTGGGGGATCCGGGAACGAAAAACCTAAGAATTTTTCGGGAGGTGGTCCATCCCTTTCTAAGCTGCCGGGTGATGAAGAACGGGCCAGGACAGATCACCCCCGAAAGATTCGATTGTTCGCCCGGATCCTCCAGAGCAGCAACCACAAACGTGACCTTGAAACTTCACACTAGTATGACGTAAAGCGTCCGGTGTATTATTTAAATAAATTGTTAAAAAAGTGCATGATTACAAATTTTTATAGTTTAGAAACCGTGTATATCATATACGAATTCGTGCGTTAAATACACAGAGAACGTCACGGACTAACACGTGTGCGTGCTAAATATCACGTGTGATGTGTATGACGATTTCGCGGATGTAATTGAAATATTTTAATCACGTGTGCAGAGGAAAGGTCATTACTATACGAAATTAATGACTTTGGGTGTTTTAAATGTCTTAAACACTTTAAAATATTACAATTAACACTTATAAAATAATTAATTACATAAGTAGCACTTGTATATAATCACACAAACGATAATACTTCAGTTTTTTTTTTTTTTTAATCAGTAACGATGATAACATCGTAACTAAAAACTGATAAAGTGCAGTTTGAGTGTCTTGAAGAAGAAGAAAATGGATTATTTTATAGGCATAGACGTTGGCACTCAAAGTGTTAGAGCAGGTTTAGTTAATGAAAATGGTGTAATGATTAACTCTGCATCGAAACCAATTAAAACGTGGAACCCCTTACCTGATCATTATGAACAATCCTCTGATGAAATTTGGTCAAGCTGTTGTGATGTTGTAAAGGTAACTTTTCTGATTTATTCTTTTATAATTCTGCTAATTCTTCACACCATTTACTATGTGTATGTTTAGAAAATTATTACAGATTTTCCAGAAGTAAATAGGATTAAAGGTGTAGGATTTGATGCGACATGTTCTTTAGTGGTTTTGGATGAATCCTGCAAACCTCTCAGCATCAGTACTTCAGGTAAAATGGATGAGGCACCATGGAAATTATTTTACTGAGAATAACTGCAACAGTACTTAATTTTTTAGGTAATCCTGAGCAGAATATTATGCTGTGGATGGATCACAGAGCCAAGAATCAGGCAGAAAGAATTAACAAAACCAGTCACGACTGTTTGAAGTTTGTCGGCGGGATTGTCTCTCCAGAAATGGAAATACCAAAGTTGTTATGGCTGAAAGAGGTGATTAGAATGTTATAAATTATCTTAAACACATCATTCATACTGATTCCATGTTTTTGCATTATTAGTCTCCTGATATAAATGAATTCATATTGCTTAACAATACAAAAATTAATAAGAAAACAATACAAATGCCATTATTCTATATAAAATAGACTAATTATTGTAATGTTCATTAGAGCAAATAGAATTTATATGAATACATGTGGTCATAGTAATTTATAATTATCTTCACTGTGATGTTGGTAATTGCAAAAACATCTTAACTGGGTTTTATCTCTGTGACACTATTTACACCTTGCTAGAATTGTATGCATCCTTACGTAAGCAAAAACCTAAAATAAATCATAGGTCTAAGAGTGATCTTTTGCATGGTAAGATTGTTCGAAACTTGCTTTCTAGTTTTGATTTTCAAAAAATGACAGTATCCTAAAATGATGTTTAAAATATGTTTTTCTTTTACAAAAGAAGACTAAAAATACGTGTGTTTGTTGTGAAGTAGATTGTCAACACAAGGTTATTTGCTACATGGTACAGAGTACCATGCAGTGGCACACTTGGGATTTAATTAATTAACTCGGGGGAGCCAGTGGAACGGATAAAAAATTTTTAATGAAAATTCAATAAATTCTCATCTTACATGGCCGCTTATTCATAAATAGTATAGAAATAAGACATGCCAAAATATAAATAAGAAAATGAATTTTAATTAGGAAAAGATTTTTGGAAAATTTACTAGTGTTTTTCTTTTCTTTTCACTTTGGAGAGTGCCAGGGTCTCTTTACCTCTCTCTTGGTGCACAATTGGTACCATTCTAGCAAATAACCTCATGTACTACTGTATTTATACTGTACTGAATATAAAATATTTACATATAGTAGATGAGATTACATGTACTATATGCAAACATTCAAGTTTGGTACTGTAGCAAAATTAAAATATTTAGATATATAAGTTCAAAGATTACCAAATATCTAAATATAAATTTTGTTGGGCTATCTTTTCACTAGATATTAATACAGAAATGTTATTGCCTAGTCAAAAGATAGCCCTATAAAATTGGTAAGATGTTTATTAAATTTGTATAATAAACAGATTATAAAGTTTCTCCCAGCAAACAGTTCAGAGAAACATCTAAAAAAGACCAATTTTTATGCATGTATGGCTAAATTAGAAAGGATGTAGACAATCTTTTAATGTAGACTATCTTGTGAAGAATAATTCCTGGATTCACATATTATTTTGCTTATATACAGATAAATCAGCAAGTAATAAATCCTGTAGCCACCAAGAAAATTTCATTTGGCCATCAGGAAGACAATTTTGATAAATTAAACTAACTTTAGACTCATAAGAATCATTGAAATGACCACCATCTTGGGGAGTTTTTGACTAAAGACTTTTGAATAATAAAATCTAAACACGACAGAATAGCTTTGTTACTTCAAGAGAGCCATTAGTTCTCTTGCAGGTGTGGATACAAGTCATTTTCTGTAGCCACACGTGCAGTTGTAGAAAAATGCTGTGATCTGGGTTTAGACAAAATAATGCAGACTTACCTTTAAGCAAATTACAGTTTGATTATTAAATAACTAGCTTAATTACAAGCTGGATTGTAGCTGTTTATATGCTTGGGTAAGTCATCCAAAAAACTTTATTTTATTTGACAGACTACATTTTAAATGTACAATAAACAGCGAAAATAGGAATGTCTTGCTATTCTGGGGGCATATTACCAATTATTTTTGTAAAAGTTTTAAAATTCTCTCTCTCTTTATGTCTTTTTCATTGTATAAATAGTGTGTGAGTGGGAAATCCAATGATGGTTAAACTTGTATGGCTTTCACTATACGTAACTGGACTCTATAATTCATAGCATACAACTTTTACTTTGTTTCTGTACAACAGAAACAAAGCTATTATAATTCTCTAAAGCTCAATCTCATAAATTATGCTCCTGAAAATAAGTTTTGACTATATAATGAGTGATATTTCATAATCATGAGAGAAAATCTATGTACCAGTCATAAAAATGGGTGTCTACTATACTTTATTACCTAATTAACCTAGTATATAAGTGCTCTCTAAATAAATTAGACAACATAATTCTTTTAGATAAACTAGAATCATATATCTGATATAATTTTAATTGAATTTCTTGGAATATTTGTTTGTTTATATAATTTTTTGATAGAATTTAACCTCGTGTTGGACTAGCGCTGGTCATTTTTTTGACCTGCCAGATTTTCTAACCTGGAGAGCTACAGGAAATTTTAGTAGGTTAGTACAAAAGTAGGTTTTGTAGCAGTTGTTTCCAACTAATTCTATACATTTTGATATTCATATTTCAGATCTTTATGTTCTTTAGTGTGTAAATGGTTGTATCAAGCTAATTCGGAATCGCACGGATGGCCCGTCGATTTTTTGAAATTAATTAATTTAGATGATTTAACGGAAAATGACTTTAAAAAAATAGGTAAGATTGTTTTGGATTTAAACGTGGACTAAATTTAAGAGTGACTTAAATTCAAATTTTGTTTGATTTATTACAAACATTATTATATGATAAATATTATGGTACTAGATTTGAGCCACTGTCACAAATGCATAACCTAGTATAACTACACCTTTAACAATTGATGAAGTTTAAGGAATATTAATGTTCTTGACCTGGTTAAAGGGCCATCTTCAGGCATGGATAGTTGAAAGTGGAAAGCCAGTGTTATAGAAAAGTGTGAAATTTATAACCAAACAGTTACCAACACTTACATAAACAACAGGGATGAAGACCCTGCTGTTTATGCAAGTCTGTTCCCTTTCTGGAAATATCTCCTTAGTTTTGCATCAACTGCCACTGTCACAGTCCAACTCCCTCCACTTGTTTATCCTATCCAGTCTTCATTTCTTCTGACATTGGCGTTCCACTTTCAATTACCAAGTCAGCTGCTGTCCAGCCATTGTTGTGATGATAGGATCATCAAGTGCACAAAATTCTCCACAATAACTTGATATTTCAGATAGTTTTACGCATTTGATAATGAACTTCTGAGTGTAAATTGAGTAAGGAACTCATTATCAGATGCATAAAACTGTGTAATTGTACAGAATGATATATAATGATAACACCACTTTGTAAATCATTAAAATCTTAACCAAAATGGGATGTTAAGATTTATTTGTATGCTTTTATTTATATCTGCTTATGGGGACATTTAAGCAGCTAAGTAAGCAAACCATTGAGTGACATGCCTGTTTAATACGTCAATAACTCGCTTAATTAACAGTTTGTCACTTAAATGCACAACCCATATCAAATTTGCAAAGATGGATATATATACTTTTAGCTAGACAGTATTTATTTTATCATTTGTATGAATCTATAATGTTGATTGTCATCATCATCATCAAACCTATTTGTTTTTCCATACATGAAGATGACAGTTTTAAATAAAATATTTCTAGTTAATGTGTCTTCAATTCCTGTACTGTTTTTATACAGCCAAAGATCAATCTTTCCTTATTGATTTAGAAATTGTAACTTCATACAGACATTATAATAATAAATATTTTATATAATTAAAACTTGATTGTTATTAAAAAACATTTTCAGTGTCCTAAAATTATATAAGATAATATTATGAATATTAAATTCATGAATTACTGAACTGCAATAAGATATGTTAAAGTCGAATTAAGAGTATCTTCAAAGACTATTTATCAAAATGGCTTTAAAAATGATAGTTTAGCAACAATACAACAGTATTGTTGCTAAACATTGCTTATTAGAATCAATTAAATCCAAGTAAATGTATATCTAAATTATATATTTATAGGTAATAAAGTACAAATTCCTGGTGAACCTTGTGGAAATGGTTTAACATTTGAAGCAGCCAGAGAACTTGGTCTGTTACCTGGGACGCCTGTTGCGACTTCGATCATCGATGCTCACGCTGGAGGAATTGGTATTAAATTATTTAAAAAATTTTTAATGATTGCACACAAGTATTTCATTAATATTTCCATATTTTGCAGGTTTACTCGGTTGTTTACAGAGCCAACAGGAGTTCGATTCTTTAACGTCCAGAATGGCAGTGATATGTGGAACATCGACATGTCACATGACAGTTAATACTTTTTACAGTTCATAAATTAGCCCGTAATTTTGATAACATATTCATGGTGATTTTAACAGAGTACAAGAGATGCAGAATTTGTTTCTGGCATTTGGGGGCCGTATTATTCTGCAATGGTTCCGGGAATGTGGTTGCTCGAAGCCGGACAGAGTGCAGCTGGAGTTCTGGTAAAGCAAAATTTTAAGAGACTAATTGGAGTCTGTTGATCAGATTTCTCAAATGAACAAGCAAAAAATAATTAATGTGTGTAGTCACATTTAATCATACATTATAGTCCGTATTTAATTTTCCAGATTGATCACATCATCAATACACATCCAGCAAAAGAAGTGTTAAATCATCTTTGTATAAAAGAAAACAGGTGCACTTTATTTTATTGAATTTGTCATCCCATTTTATATCACCAACATAGATTATTAATTTATTGTTTAGACACATTCAGGAGATCTTAAACTCAAAGTTGGAGGCTCTAATGGGCAATCTATCTTTGGCAGCCGAACTCGTTTCTGATCTCCACGTTCTGCCAGACTTTCACGGTAATAGATCACCGTTAGCTGATTCTACACTTAAAGGAATGGTTTGTGTCTTTGAAGTTTTAGATTTTAGTAATTTTATACTGTAATTAAAAGATATATACATACAAAAAAAATTTAACTAGATTTGTGGTTTGACATTGTCTTCCAATGAAGAGGACTTGCTGAGAAAGTATCTTGCAACTGTTCAAGCATTAAGTGTAAGAGGGATAGATCCTTTTCTTTTTTAACAGACTCATAAATATGCTATAAAAATACTAAATATCTTTTCCAGTATGGTACGAGACACATAATAGATAGCCTGAAGAAGAAAAATATCCTTATCAAAACTCTTCTTATGTGCGGAGGATTAGCGAAAAATCCACTTTACGTACAGATGCATGCCGACGTCACAGGTGTAGTATAAAAATTTATGATTTATACTTTTTTCCATAGTATAAATATAACATGTTATGTTGTTTTCATTTTTATTTGGTCCCATAAATTGAGTTTCAGTACATACATTGGATGTTTATGCTTACATGTATAAATTGTAACAATTAACATCTCATAGAAAATCTAAAATAAATTTATATTAAATTCTTTCTCATACACTGTATACTGTGAAAAAAATATATTTTACTATATAATATTAGTCATATAGATTACTTTGTTGCTTTATCTTTGATCTATTCAGGATTGCCCGTGATAATTCCTGAAGAATCTGAATCGGTTTTGTTGGGTGGTGCAATTTTAGCAGCCAGAGCGAGTGAGAAATATTCTTCGGTTCCTCTGGCCATGAACGTCATGTGTGGCAGAGGAACTATCATCTCGCCAAATTTGAAGTATAAGAGGTGACTTTAGTTTGTAAAATGTTTAATATTTTCAAAACACTTATCAAAGAAAGAATTTTTATAAATGGAATGATGTTAATTTTCTGATAGTTTCAGTTATTCTATTGTAATAATAATTTTGCATTGCAAAATATTGTAAACTCAATTCTGCCAACAAAAATACAGTACCCAAAATTTTGTAAGTTACAAATTAACTGCATTATATTATGCAGTAAGAAGTGCAAACATGCCCACTGCATTAAACACAAGAAATATACCAATATTCAAAGTTGTTGGTAAATTTACATAAAAACGTATTCTTTCTTATAACATTTTATATATAATACATATATAAAATGTTATAAAAAGGAAAATGAGATTTACTTTTGATGGTAGAGATGAGTTTTTAAAAATATTGTAAATATAAGTTTCATTTGTTATTGACATTAAGTTGGATTTCACTTGAGATATGACAAATGACCCCCTCTATTACCCCACCCACTCAAGTTCTATATTCCAAAATTTAATAGCATCCATGATCCTTATACAGTAATACCTCAACTTACACGATTTTCAAATCTCGTTGATTAATCTTTTGTTTGAGTACCACATAACTCTTGATTACTCACTCTCCCTACACTGTTTTCAGCTTACATGTTCGGACGTGTTGTGCAGAATCAACATATAGCTACAATTTATTTTGTGTTATTTATTTCTGTGTTTGTTATATCTACGGAGACTTGAAAGACTATGTGGTGATTTCTTGTAACCATGAACGAATCAAAATACAAGATAAGATTGACGAGAACATTTATTAGCTTATATCTGTCTTGGATTTTACGCAAATTGCGAAATTATACCCCAACTTATGTGGTTATCGCTCAGGCCCACCTATCGCATAAGTTTGGGGTATTACTGTATACAAGTTACCATGCCAAATTTTGCTTTCCAATCTTTACTCCATTCCAAGATATTAAACAAAATAGATGCCAACTCACACAAACACTCCAGGAATCTTTTCCTATTCTTTTTTACCTTTTGTGGGTTTGGAAGGTCTCAAAATGTTTAATATTTGCAAAAAACCCAGAGAATCAAATTCGACATTATGATATTTTCCTGTTTGTGTAAATGGAAAAAAATTGTGTTGATGTCTAATTTTGTTTAATATCTCAGGATGGGATAACGGTTAAGAAAAGAAATTTGTCATGGTAACTTGTATATACAGTATAGAGGGCATTAATTTATGCTATTAAATTTTTTAGTGATTAAAGTTTGGGAATGGGAGATAGAGGGGGTCGTGCCATATCTGGAATGGGGTTGGACAATATTGTTTCACTCATTATTGCCATTTACAATTTTTTTAAAAACTCAATCTCAATCAAACTCAAAATTAAGCCGTTTGCTTTTTTATAATAATTAATAATATGAGATATTATTATAAAACAGCTTATAACAGATGGTGCCACACACAATTTTAACTTTAAGAAACACTAAGACACATTAGCAAACATAAATACATTTTGCCTGGAAAGTTTTTTTTGTGTGTGATTCTGTCATCTGGTTTAATTACTTGCAACACAGATGCACCTTTCTAAACATTTTCATAAGACCCAATGTACTGCTTAATGAGACAACTGAACTCGCAAAGCTATTCGCATATTTCCTGTTCATTTTCCAGCAAAGATTTATTACAAACTTATTTTTCTTTTTTTCTTGTGCAAATTAAAAACTACTTCATTCTATAAAATTAACCATGGCATCTTTATTCAAAGCTCTCGGGATTTTTTAAAATTTGCATCCTATTAGACGATCAAAACTCGGAAGTTCACTTCTCCAGTTTTGACGGTAGTCTGTAATACTTAATATTGTATTGTGTTCAAAGAATAATCGACACAAAATAAAGCAAATTTAATTTCTTTATATATTTATTATACAAAATTTTACTATTTCTTTTTTGATATTTCCCTCTTGTCAAACCAAATGTCAAATTAACAAATTGCTTTGCAGAACAAATTCTCTTAGTATTTATTACTGCAGAGTTTCAAATGTAGACCTGCAATATTCTGACAATACAGTTGGCTCGCTTTATCTGCAGGTCAAAAATATTTTGGGAAATTCCAGGAAGTTTCAAAAAGTAAAACTTGACTTTGTATTTCTCTTTTGGCTCATTAAACGAAAACAATATGTAGGTGCCGAAAGAAAAATGTTATGTAGTTAGGCCTGTAATATAATTGTAGGCTTTTGTAATAACGAGTAGGACATTTTTTCTTGTCATTATTCCTTAAACAATACAGTGTAACAACTGTTTACATATAATTACTTAGCATTATATTGTATTAGCATTTATATAAAGTTTGCTTTAACTTTAGATTGTTGTGAAAGCTGTTGTTCACCAAACCTAGTAAATAATTCACGACAAAATATTGTCCGAAGGTGAACATAACATATTATACTCTTATATAATAATTACCATTATAAAATTATTTTTATAATAATAAATTTGTTAAAAGGCTGCTTAGTTTTGGTAATAGCCCAAAGTTATGGTGAACGATAGACATGATTTAAAGTATGTAGGCTGTTTTTTTCAAGCTCCGATGGTCCATAAAACAAAGACAAGTGTAAATAACAAAATGAATTTATTAACAAAAGTTAGGTACAAACATGGTTACTTTTTGACATAATCACCATGAAGATTGAGGAATTTGTCATATCTATGGATGAGCTTTTTCCATCCCCTTGTCATAGAATGTTGCCACCAGTGAATTGAGATTGCCTTAACAACATTAGTTTCAAATCTCTGCCCTGCTAGCCGCATTTCCAGTTCAGGAAAGAGGTGGAAGTCTTCACACATTAAAAAGTTCCAAGCTGGGTGGAAGTCTTCACCACCTTTAAACACCCAGCATATAGTCCTGATTTAGTGCCGAGTGACTTCCACCTCTTTTCCGAACAGAAAAAGTGGCTAGGAGGGCAGAGGTTCGAGACTAACGACAATCTTCAAAACAACGTTAGGGCCCATCTCAGTCATTGGTGGCAACATTCTATGATAAGGGGATGGAAAAGCTCGTCCACAGATATGACACTCATTCCTCAATCTTCACAATGATTATATCGAAAGTAACCGTGTCTGTACTGTACCTAACTTTTGGTAATACAGTAGAGCGTCGATTTTCTGAATCAATTGGGGACTGGGGTTGTTCATATAACTGATATTTCGGATAACCGATTTATGTACGAAAAAATAGTTTAACATATCCGATGTTAAAATTTTTATCCGTTGCATGTCGCTTCGCGTTGAATTTTCGTTGATGTTAAGCCTAACAAAGACTATTGTATCGTTAAAAATTATTNTAGTAAATAAACGTTTTGTTTAAAAAAAAATGTATAAAAATAATTACAAAAAATATATTAGCATATTAAAAAATATTAACGAGTTTTAAAATAATTTAAAAGTTAAATATAGCTATTTTAAAAAATATATATAAATGTTATTTTAAGAGTTCTCTCTATTATATATAAATTTATCGTCAGATGGCGTACGTAGTAATCAAAAGCGAGAAGTTCGTTTGGTTTGTTATATAACTTTGACGTCATTTGACGTATTATCATAATCAAACGAATGGATGCAAAGCTTACGGATTTAGTGAAATATGGTGGATAAGTGCGCTATAATCGGAAAATTCTACAAAGTCTAGATTCGTTTTATTAAAATATTAGAAAATTTCGCGAAAATTAGACAAAAAAAACTAAATAAGCAAGCCAATCGCACAATCTGTTTTAAAATTAGTGGTTAAAATACGTTTCGTTCACAAGGAGCTACACCATTGGCTTGCTTAGACCCTGCCAACAATATTTATCCAATGGTAACGGCCGAGTGGTTAAAGTGACAGTCTGTCGCCCTGGGGGATCCGGGAACGAAAAACCTAAGAATTTTTCGGGAGGTGGTCCATCCCTTTCTAAGCTGCCGGGTGATGAAGAACGGGCCAGGACAGATCACCCCCGAAAGATTCGATTGTTCGCCCGGATCCTCCAGAGCAGCAACCACAAACGTGACCTTGAAACTTCACACTAGTATGACGTAAAGCGTCCGGTGTATTATTTAAATAAATTGTTAAAAAAGTGCATGATTACAAATTTTTATAGTTTAGAAACCGTGTATATCATATACGAATTCGTGCGTTAAATACACAGAGAACGTCACGGACTAACACGTGTGCGTGCTAAATATCACGTGTGATGTGTATGACGATTTCGCGGATGTAATTGAAATATTTTAATCACGTGTGCAGAGGAAAGGTCATTACTATACGAAATTAATGACTTTGGGTGTTTTAAATGTCTTAAACACTTTAAAATATTACAATTAACACTTATAAAATAATTAATTACATAAGTAGCACTTGTATATAATCACACAAACGATAATACTTCAGTTTTTTTTTTTTTTTTAATCAGTAACGATGATAACATCGTAACTAAAAACTGATAAAGTGCAGTTTGAGTGTCTTGAAGAAGAAGAAAATGGATTATTTTATAGGCATAGACGTTGGCACTCAAAGTGTTAGAGCAGGTTTAGTTAATGAAAATGGTGTAATGATTAACTCTGCATCGAAACCAATTAAAACGTGGAACCCCTTACCTGATCATTATGAACAATCCTCTGATGAAATTTGGTCAAGCTGTTGTGATGTTGTAAAGGTAACTTTTCTGATTTATTCTTTTATAATTCTGCTAATTCTTCACACCATTTACTATGTGTATGTTTAGAAAATTATTACAGATTTTCCAGAAGTAAATAGGATTAAAGGTGTAGGATTTGATGCGACATGTTCTTTAGTGGTTTTGGATGAATCCTGCAAACCTCTCAGCATCAGTACTTCAGGTAAAATGGATGAGGCACCATGGAAATTATTTTACTGAGAATAACTGCAACAGTACTTAATTTTTTAGGTAATCCTGAGCAGAATATTATGCTGTGGATGGATCACAGAGCCAAGAATCAGGCAGAAAGAATTAACAAAACCAGTCACGACTGTTTGAAGTTTGTCGGCGGGATTGTCTCTCCAGAAATGGAAATACCAAAGTTGTTATGGCTGAAAGAGGTGATTAGAATGTTATAAATTATCTTAAACACATCATTCATACTGATTCCATGTTTTTGCATTATTAGTCTCCTGATATAAATGAATTCATATTGCTTAACAATACAAAAATTAATAAGAAAACAATACAAATGCCATTATTCTATATAAAATAGACTAATTATTGTAATGTTCATTAGAGCAAATAGAATT